ATTTTATGCTAATTAATGTTAGTTTGAAAGCATTCAATGAGGTTGTTTCCTTTTTCTTGGAGAGGAAACATGCATTTCAGGAAAGCTTATTTACTGCTGTTTAAAGTGATGTATAGCTTACTTCCCTTGTGTAAATACTTGGTGAGGAATAAATTTTTCAATAATCTGGGTCAATTTTTATGGTTTTGGGGTACAGTTTGGAAAAAAAATTCTAATTAATTCTGTATTTGTTCCTTTTCACCCAGATTCTCTGGATGTCTTGCCCATAAGATAATGAATATTTTATCTTTGAAATGTTTCCTTGTAACTCCACTCCCTGAGGCCCAGGCTGTTTCAAAGTCCTCTTTCAAATGAGATATAGCACTACTCAATAGTGTAAATCCTTTTGACAAAAAAAAATAAAAGAAAAAAGGTTGTCGTCATTTGCCATTTTTTTATGTCTGACTTACACTAAATCTGCAGAAGTATTTTGAAGGAAAATGCTTTAGTTAGTGGGTGTTGTTTATTTTCCCCAGCTATAGAATTAACGGTAAGGTGCAGTGTCAAATAAAATAAACCTCGGCAGCAGCGAAAAGTTGTAGATACATTTCTATACCGTGAGGGGGAAACCAAACCCCCCTTTCCACCCCCTCCCCCTACTTCTGGTCAGAACCATGGGGTTTTCTTTTTTCAACTTCTTGTTTGACATCAAACGTCCTGCGACGACAGGATCGCGATACTTGTCTTACTATACTTTCTTTGATCTCTTAATTTTAGTTGGATCTCGTACCCGGATCCTACAGTGTAACGTTAACTGGAACAACAACCGCTTGACCGTGAAAGGTCTGGCTACGTGACTAATCAACGTTAGGGCACCCCACCCCTCATCAAAGCTTCTTAGTTTCGCCCCTATGAAATCGTTTTGGTAATAGTTACTGGTAATAGTTACTGCTAATGCAGATTGCATGCACAACGCAGTTTCGAAACGATGCAGTGTGGTAAGGGCTCGAATTTGGATTTGTAAAATTGAGAGGAAATGATGTTCTATTTACATCCGGTATCCATTGTCATTTTTGTCTTCTTTCCATTTAAGTTCACTTGGACTGAGTTATCTTGACTGTTCATTTAGTACACAGGTTCACTCTCATCGTCAGAGATCGTTTCTTCGTTAATCCATCCTGCTCTCAGGTTGCATACTTTCTTGTCGGTTTTCCTTGGATTCTGGCCTGACCACTAGTTGCTGTTCCAGTTTGAAAGGCGCTGGGGTTTCTTAGTCGATTTACACACCCTGGAAAGATGACCCGTTTTTCTGAAAACGTTGCATCTCGAGTTAATTGCACCACATTCGTCAGGATCGTACCCATCTAGTCCGTCTTGGGTTCCATCTAATTTTCTAGTGTGCATTAGATCCAGTGAACAACAGTGCAAACGGTGAAATCCACGTGGGTTCCAGTCACTTATGATTCCCTGCACTTCACACTCCAAGGGGTAAGCCACGCGCGTGAAGGGGCAAATTAGGTAAACTTTAGCACCAAGGCCGGACTCATCGAAATACATCACGGGAAAGACTTTCATTAATATATCTCGAATGGGTAATACCATTTCTTCATAAGAATATTTACTTTTATGTTTCATAAAATAATTACACTTAAAACCCGTGACATTTTCATCACTTGACTGGTTGTCACACCATATTACGTCACTAATTCCTTCTCAGGGTCTCTTGTCTTTGCCCCCTGAAGAGACCCTGAGGACGGCTTGACCTCGTCATATTATACAACTTCATCTTAGGGATTGGCCATTATTTATCCCCGGGGTATTACATGGCTTACAAGGGAACGGTGGGGGATCGGCCATCGCCAAACTTCCACGTGATTTGTCACAGCATAAGAATCGGTGGTCATTTTTCGGTTTGGAATATATATATATATTTTCTCAGAGGATAATATACGATTTCTATGCTCTTGCATGTTGTCGTCCTAAGGACGAGGTTAGATCTGTTCAAAGAAGCGGAAAGCTCTCCCAAAGCGAAGTTCGATAACAATTGTGATGTGCTTCGCGTGACCCCAGCTGAAATCCGCAGATATCTGGTGTTATAATGCGCCGAAACTTCACCATTTCTCCATCGGGGAACCCATAAGCATTTGACTGTCAAACATGCCCAGGGATTGAAGAATTGGATCTTTGCCTGAGTGGGGTGGAGAATTTGAACCGGTATTGTCAGGTCTTTCCAGTGGAGCACACATGTTTTATGGTTGGTACGTTATGGGCCCTATGTGTATATTTTTTTCATTTCTAGCGCGACGAACTTCGCTAAAAAGAGGGACTGCTCATAGTCTACACCATGTATATACGAGGCCTATCGAGCTGGTGTTCATATTTTCTAGGACGATTCGAAATAATTATCTTATGACCTTCCAAAACTGTAACTTAGTTTTCTCGATTGAAGGTAACGTAAATTTTTGTCTTTACCTCTAAAGTATGTTTTAATTAAAGTCTTTTTTTAATATCCCGCAAGGGCTAATTTCAAATGTTTACCTTATTACAGGAACTGCTGGTGACTCATTTACTCAACACCATGGCTATCCCTTCACAACCAAGGATCAGGACAATGACAGCTTTGACGGTAACTGTGCTAAGGAACTTAAAGGAGCCTTACATACTTGGCCTGTCATAGCTCAAACCTTAACGGTTACTATCATTGATGGGATGCAATCATCGCATGCTGATGGAGTCAACTAGTATCACTGAAAAAGTTACCATTACTCTGCGAGGAGAGCTGAGCTGAGATGAAAATCAGACCTGTCAAGTTTTAAAGCTTAGGTTAGATGCATTATGCCGACATAATTCTGGGTATAATGTTATTGTAGTAGCGTCGAGCATAATGCCGGTATAATGAGCTTTTTTTCGGGCATAATATTTTCTTAATTTTAAATTTGAATTTTCGTTTTCAAGTGCTTTTAGTAAGGATGTAACAAATTCAAAAGCTTGATTGCTAGTTTCAAGGCTTAGTTGCACCGTTACATTGTACGTAGGGCCTTGGGGGAAAGAGGGGGACAGGGGGTCACAGCCTCCCTCCTCACTTACTTTTGAGCCTCTTTGCCTCCCGACTCCTGCCCTTCGTTGTATTACCCCCTTCTTTAGGTTACCAAAAACGATCAGAAACCTGGGTCTTTGGTAAGCTGCACCGAAACGTATTCTTCTTGACCGTTCTCTGGTGTTTAATTTCTGGAGGAAGGGGAGATAATTTTGTCAAAGTGAACATCATTACAGGCCAGCTTTTACTGACCTGGTTATCATTCTTTGACCAACGGTTCTAACATCTCACTATAGAGAATAAAGTCTCAGTCCATTGTTCAATTTAAAAGCTATTGCGGTTTTTAAAAGTTTATTTATTAGCAGCTAGAAATCCTTAATATACTAGGATCATGCCATTGAGAAATGAAACCTAATAGACAAACGTAACGTTAAGAGTACAGTACTCCTTTCTAATTCCCTGCTTCTAGTTACACTAGATGCATATCTATTGTGGGGAGTTATCATATACACAAATCTCATTGTCATTGTGATAGGGGCTTTATTATGGTCGGTAACAATATATCACATCTGACAAACTTAGCATCTTTAACCGTTCAGTTTAACCCTTTACACCCTAACATCAGCATGCATATTCTCCATACTATTCTCTTTACATTTCCTAAGGTGCTGACAGGGAGAATTTGTTTAACAATCAAGAGCTTCTTCAGTTGGTTATCATTTCTTTATGATTTTGGACCTTGATGAGTGATTCAGAGCTGATGTTGTAAGGAGAACTTAGATGTTAGTCACTTTTAGGGGTTAAAGGGCTAGGCACTGGTGTAGTATTGTTGTTTACTTTGTTCGGCTGATAATCACATTGTATACTTATTCAGACTTCTTCAAAAATTTTTTAGAAACCTCTTTTTTATAACTAGGGGCGAAGCGTGAGATTCTGAAGGTGTATGAACGAGCAGAAAATATTGAACGGCGAAGGTGCTCCAAATTACGGGGGTTAGGGGACGTGCTCTCTCAGAAAGTTTTAGACACAGGGTCTTGGAAATGCCATTTCCGGCTTTTTTCGTAGGGCATTTTCGGTGAGCAAATATAGAGTAATTAATGCATAAGTAAGCGGGCGTTGTATATTTTCCCCCCCTCTAGAGTTAACGGTAAGGTGCAGTGTCAATAAATTAAACTTCGGCAGCAGCGAAAAGTTGTAGATACATTTCTATACCGGGAAGGGGGGGGGATCCAAACCCCCTTCACCCCCTCCCCCTCCATTCCGGTCAGAACCGTGGGGTTCTCTCTCTTTACTTCTTGTCTGACATCAACAGTCCTGCAAAGAAGGGACCGCAAAACTTCACCATGAAAAGTGCTACATATTTGTTTGTTTTATTATATTTTCTTTGATTTTTTAATCAAAGTTTATATCGTACCCAGATCATACCGTGTAACTGGAACTACAATCTAAATTCCTTTTAAAATGTTATTTCTTTGAGTAAGCTAGCATATATGCTCTAAAAGTTCACTGGTCTGATTTTCATCTCAGCCCTCTTCATAGATTGGGGCTTTCCTTTCCAGCTTTTCCATCTGATTCCAAAAGTAGTAGCTGAGTCCTCTCTATGACGATAGACACCATTCAGGTTTGAGTAATAACAGTCAATATGCCACCAGCCTCCTCTATATTTCTCAGCAAGGTTACTGCTATGGCTGTCATGGTCCCGATCCCTGGTTGAAAAGGGATAGCTGTGATGTCGAGTAAGGGAGTCGCCAGCTCTTCCTAGAATAAAGTAAAACTCGAAATCAGCTCTTGCGAGATATTCACAAAGACGTCATATGATCCAATCTTACTTAAGAAGCAAAGACACAAATTACTCTTGGTCGAGAAAACTAAGTCAAAATTTTGACAAAGTGTTACAATAAAAAACTTCTAAGTTTTTCTTAGAATAACTAAAGAGAATTCGTTAAGTTAAAACAATTACTTTTATTTGTTTCAAACAATTTACCTGAATATTTCCCAACGCTCAACTGGTACTTCTTACTTTCAGTCGCTACCACAATTAAGTCGTATTCAGCGTAAGAAGTTTTGCCGTCAAAATCTTCCAGATCGACTCGAAGCTTGCTGGGGGATTTTGTCAAGCGGTGTATTTTTTCCAGTCCGAGCCAAAACTCGCCATCAAGATTACCAAAGCCAAGCTTGTAGTTAGACCAGTCGCGATCGAAAAGAACAGAGCCATCCAGCCTCTTTTGGACCACTGTCCATCCCCCGCCAGTAGTTTTTTGATCACAAAACACTTTAAAGTCAGATCCAATACCATCCGGTTTGATTCTGTAAACACCGCTGGTTATTCGACCAGATTTGTATAGCTCGGCACAGTTTTTACGCACTGATAAAAAAATATATATAAATTATTGATAATACTACTACTAATAATAATAATAGCTATAAAACAGTAATAACGAGATGACGACCTGGAGAGTATTCTTCATCTATCTTTTAGAACGAAGCTCATTCAACCTTAACTCTTCCAAAGGAAAGGTTCTTGTTAAATTCTTATTTCCTTGGGTCCCGTGTGCCTTCAGTATATGCTTTCATTAGCCAAAGGGGAGTGGACAGGCACTATCACCTAAAAGGTAAGGACCTATTTAAATTAACATTTGGCCGGCTTAGGTTGTCCCCCTGTCTAGCTCTTTGAAAGATGGTACTGCACCTAAATACGCAAGCGTCGTGCTTGCTTCGAGGAATTCCACATGCGAAGTACACATAATTATTCTTGCCATCAATATTAGCCTGGATTATGCAGTCGCGTTGTTGGTAGCAAATGAAATAATCCGGTGCACTGTCGCTAGCTGTAAGTGCTCTTATTCTGACGTGTGAGCTGTCAATAGCCTCTATTATTATTATTATTATTATTATTATTATTATTATTATTATTATTATTATTATTATTATTGTCAATAGCCAACAACCTTCGGTAGATTGGTAAGGTCAGCAAACGATGCAATCGGTGAATTTACCTCATCGAGTCTCTGAAATTTTGTGTTCGTCACGAGGTTCATCAAGGCCATGAACAACTTCTTGCATTGCTGCGATAGCAGTAGAATTTCACATTTTAGATTTAAAGATTTAATGAATGTAACCGAAGAAGTTACAATTCATAGACCCAACGTTTCGACACTAACGTGGGTCTGTGAATTATAACTTCTTCGGTTACTATCATTAAATCTTTAAACCAAAGTAGCATCAAACCATGTCTGATTGCCCACCTGGTTGCCATTTAATGTGAACTTTAATATATTTCAACGGAACATTTTCGGCAGAATGATACATTTTGTCGAGTAGTTAGTGCTCGTATTCTTCCAATTTTAGGTTTATTTTTCTCTCATTCGCCCATGTTTGCCAGATATTCAACCAGTCTGTGTTGCTTTCAAGGGATTTTTGATTTTTGCCTCTTCTTTCATTTGCTCGACTATATTTTAGTTTGGCGGTAAATCTGCAATTCAAATCTGGTTAATGATTAACATGATGGTGCTTATTGTATTTGTGGCAGTGCGACCCTAAGATGTTTTGAGAATTTTGTTTCTTCCGTACGCGGTTTCAAATTTTCGGAGAGTTTTGTATCGGCTCCCAGCATGTATTTGACTGAAATGCGACCTACACCATAGCTTCAAGTTTCAGCCGGGGTTTGCAAAGAGTGCGGCACATCACAGTTTTCCTCCGGCTTCATTCTAGGTAAACTGTTCGCTACTCGGAATAGATAATCGAAGATAACGTCTGCGAAAAATGCTTAAAGATGTTTTCGCTTCAAATCGAATGGAATTAGATTCTATCAAATAAAAATACATTCTAAATTATTTCAATGCATAGCTACGTTTACCACGAATTTGAACGTATTCATCAACAAATTTAACTCTGTTATGATGTTTATTGCAGAATTATTGAATTTATAATTTCGCATCACTTACCTAACAGTGTCCTCAGTTCATCGAACTCTCTAGCCATGTTAAAATAGACGTTTCCTTGAAGGGTTTTTCTAGCCTCGTCGATGAAAGCTCTGGAGCCTTGTTCCCTTTTATCAAGCATTTTTTCCATAGTTGTTTCTAGGGATTTGACGTCTGCAAACAAATACCCAAAGACATTTTCGCTTCAAATCGAACGAAATTAGATTCTATCAAATAAAAATACGTTCTACATAATTAAAATGCTTAGCTACACATAACTACGTTTACCACGAATTTAAACGTCTTCATTCAAATTGAACTTTTATGTGATGCTCATTGTAGTGGAACACCTGAAGCTATAATTTTTAACTTTACATTACCTACCTAACAGTCTTTTTAACGTAGAAGTCTCGAACTCTTTGATAGCCTCCTTGATGAAAGCTTTGGAGCCTTGCTCCCTATTATCAAGCAGCTTTTCCATAGTTTTTTCTAGGGATTTTGTGTATGCGAACAAATGTCTAAAGACAGTTTGGCTTCAAATTGAATGAAATTAGATTCTATTAAATAAAAATACATTCTGCATGATTAAAATGCATAACTACGTTTACCGCGAATTTGAATGTCTTCGTTCAAATTGATCTCCATTATGATGCTCACTGTAGTGGAACACCTAACGCTATAACTTATAACTTTACATTACCTACCTAACAGTCTTTTAAGCATATTAGTCTCGGACTCTTTGATAGCCTCGTTGATGAAAGCTTTGGAGTCTTGTTCCCTTTTATCTAGCATTTTTTCCATAGTTGTTTCTAAGGATTTGATGTCTGCGAACAAATACCCAAAGACATTTTGGCTTCAAATCGAATGAAATTAGATTATATCAAATAAAAATACATTCTACATGATTGGAATGCATAGCTACGTATAGTTACGTTTACCACGAATTTGAACGTCTTCGTTCAAATTGAACTCTATTGTAATGCTCACTGTAGTAAAACACCTGACGCTATAATTTAAAACTTTACTTTACCTCCTAGCAGTCTTTCAAGCACATTAGTCTCGGACTCTTTGATAGCCTCGTTGATGAAAGCTTTGGAGCCTTGTTCCCTTTTATCGAGCATTTTTTCCACAGTTGTTTCAAGGCAGGCTTCAAGGGAATTGATAGCGTGATAGTGGTACAGAGCCGCTCCTACAACAACCACTGCTGCGATGGTTTTGTAAAAAGACCATTCACTTGCAATACATTTGTTCACTAATCTCCTTAAGAATCCAAATCTCTGACCTGTAGGAATCTGGTTTATCTCGACTCTTTCTTGAGTATCGGTCATTGTTCAAAGCGAAAACGTAAAGAAAACTACTGCAAATGTAACGCACAACAATACAAGGAGGAAGTCGTTGCGTGAAGAACATGTATCAAAGCGAACCTGTTGAGCTGGGCTTCAAAATAAGTAAGTTAGGAATAGTACGTTGTTAAAGGTAAACAAAGAAAGCGGCCAGTGGAGCTTACCATCTGATTGCGTTGCATTGTGGCAGTGCTATTTTCAATATGGCGGTAAAAGCGACGGAAATCGGCCGCTCTTTGACCAAACATTTTTTAACAGTTACACTTGTTTGTCTCTACTTGTACCATTAATAAAAATAATTTGACTTACACTGCACCTGTAGAAGTATTTTGAAGGAAAATGCATAAGTAAGTGGGTAGTATTATCAGTAGTGTTATTAAATGAAACGGCAGCAGCGAAAAGTTGTTGGAAGGGGGGATCCAAACCCCTCCTTTCCCCCCCCCTTCCGTTCAGAAGCGTGGGTTTTTTTTTTTTTAACTTCTTGTCGGACATCAAACGTCCCGCAACGACAGGATCACGATAATTTACAATGAGAAGTGTTATGTATGTACTCGTTTTATTATATTTTCTTTGATTTCTAGTTTAATCTCTTACCCAGATCCTACCGCGTAGCTGGAACAACAACCGCTTAGCCGTTAAGGGTCTGGGTACGAGACTAATCAAAGTAAGGGCACCCCTTCTCCCATCAAAGCTTCCTAGATTCGTCCCATAAACACGCTCTAGTAATAGTTACTGCTAGATTACTATAGAGTTACTACCGATTGAATGCACGATGCAGTTTCGAAACAATGCAGTAAGGCAGGAAACCAATGGGCTCCTGAGTGTGGTGAGCGCACACATCATGTAACCGACTCCAGCGAAAGATAATATACACGCTGCCAACATAAAAAAGTGAAAAATACTGAGTTGCCAGAGCCTTCTCAATGGCGAAAAGTTCTGTGGTAATAGATCCAGAAGGAGCCAGTTGGTGCACGACAAAGTTTTGTAATGTTATGGGATGTTAGTCCATTAACAGCATACGTGAAAAAAAATTATGCGCATCTGTTTGGCTGAAAACGAATGCATTTTCATGTACACGAGTGCAAAATTATAAAACAAGTGCAAAATTAAATTACTAATAGCGCGCACTGCCATCTAAACTTTCTGTGGTTTATTTTTCACGCAAATTATTAACAAGGAAAAACAAGAGTTCTTGTGCAATTTGGTGTATTAAGCACTTGTTGTTATTAACACCAAATTGCACTTGAAATCATGTTGTTACCTATGAGAGCTCCCATAAGTGGCCAAGACAGCATTTCAATACAACATCAAGGAGAAATTTAGTGATTAGAATAAACAAAAATATCAAAGAGGAGATTATTAGTTGATCCAATATTAAATTCTCGAAAAAAAAAATCATGAGAATTGTATGACAGACATACAAAAAAAAATGGGGGGCGGAATTCTAGGAGTTATTATCAATTATTTAAACCTTTGGTAAATGACTAGATATTAAACATTTAATAGTTGTCCTGGAATGTCATCAAGTATAAACACTATTTGCTCTGCCTTGATCCTAATCAAACAGAATTTGTATTTTTTGGAAACCTGTACTCGGTAAACTGAGGTTTCCTACATAATATTGACAGCCAAATTACATAATATTGACAGTGAAACTGTCGGTATCGATGGGTTAAAAACAAAATAATGTATAAAAAAATGTTTAATTACCACAAATAAGTGGCTTGAACATCGCGATGATCATTTTCCATACAAGCATCAGAACTGCTGTGATTTGTCTTACTAGAAGTAGCATTTGGCGACTCAGAGCCAACACTTCCATTATGTCATTCGTCTCTTATGTCGATGAGTTCTTCGTTTATGGGTGCGCGCTTTCTAATGATCACATGCTTAGCTGGATGAAATTGCGAGTCTAATTTGTTTGGATTCATATTTGCGCAAAATACAACCTCGCTAATATTAAAATTGTGCTATGGCCGTATGCTGTTTTGCATCTTGATAATTCTTCAATTGATACTGTGGAATCTTAGAGGGAATCTCTTGGCCAAATTTGTAGTTCAGACACGACTGGACGTGCGGTACTTTCATACGTATTTCGCGATTGAACAACAACATGGTTGGAGACTGGATGGAGCGTTAGTCAGTACTTGTTTAGTAATTGCGTGTACTTACGTGTACTCGACAATTTTTGATCATAGACTCTGTTGCTTCATCCATACCAGGCCAACAGAATCGCGACCTAAGGAATTATTTAGTTTTCACAATACACTGATGCGTTTCTTGTGATAATTTGAGAATTTTCCTTCGCAACACAAATGGAACTAACATTCGGTTCCCTCTCAAAATCACACCTTCATAGACAGATAATTGGTCCTTGATTGTCTTAAATGGCTCCAATTAATCATCGGGCCACCATTTACCGCTTTGAATTTGTGTGACTTTGAAAATGTGCCATCTTTTGCTGTTTCGCGTCTCATGTCTGATAAAGTGATGGCTTGCAGATCTAATGTTTTGCTATAGTACACAAACCGCACATAGCTCTCGCGAGTCTAAAGTGGGGCTTCAGAGAGAATTGACTGCCAATTAACTGCGAATGAGGAGAATCATAAAAATATTATAGAGCTCTATGGGGGGATCTATGAGTTTCTGAAATGGATTCTGAGTGGATACTAATCGATTGTCACGGTGTAGGTAAAGGGTATTGAATACTGTTTTCTTTTCTTTTCACTTTCTCTTTGTTTTTTAGGTAACCTCCAACTTTAAGTCCAAACTTTGGAGTTACAAGATAGCTTTTAACCTTCTCAAAGCGGAGACTGGGTTTGACTCCTAAAGAAACCAAAGACTGTTGCGACCTTCCAGAACCTTCCATGTGATCTGTCTCGGTATAAGAATCGGCGAACGGCTTGTTTCCATGACTGTGCACGTTGACAAGTTTTACTAACCGAACCAACGATAGCTGACATCCGATATCGCCGCTAGACGTGGCAGTATCCTGCCAGTGCAAATGGTTGATTTATTCTCAGGCCTCCTCATAGTATAACTGAAAGAAGGAAGGCTAACCTTTCTTTTCATCTTAGAGCAAGAATCGGCCTTTCAAGCCACGATGAAAATGACGGTATTCAAGAAATCATATGGGGGGATAGAGAGGGAAAATAAGGTTGGGATTTGTCGATTTCAGCTCAGTTATTTTTAGCTTACGTGGAAACCAAAGTAATTTTTTAATGTATTTTCTTGTTTCCGAAGTCACTTTGATCAGTAATGGAATAAATCTCATTTGTGGAAAAAAAAACTTGATCAGAAGGAACAAGGTTCCAGAGCTGACATCGAGGAGGCTATCAAAACCATAGCAGCACGCCTCAAGACTTTCATGGTTAGAAAGTTCGATATGCTTAAAGGAATGGCGGTAGGTAAAGTGAAGTTATAAATTTTAGCGTCACATGTTCCATCAGCATAATAGACTGCAATAAGCATCGCAGTGGAGTTCAGTTTGAGTTATGTTGTTAATTAAAATTCACGGTGAACGTACCAAGCCATGCGTTGCTATACATTTGATCAGATAGAATGTATTTTTACGCGATAAAATCGAAATCAATTCGATTCGGAGCGAAAATTCGTTTTGATATGCGTCCGTGGACATTATCGGTTCAAAGAAGCGGACAGCTTTCCGAAAGGGGAATTCGAGGATAATTGTGATGTGCTTCGCGTGACCTCAGCTGAAATCCGCGGATATCCGGTGTTACAGTGCGCCGATCGATTCAGTTCTTCAACATTCCCCCATAAAACGACTCACAGGCATTGGACTGTCAAACATGCCCTGCGAGTGGGGAATTTGATCTTTGCCTAGTTGGGGTGGAGAATTTGAACCGGAATTGTCGAGTCTTTCCAGCGGAGCACACATGTTTTATGGTCGGTACGTTATGCGCTATATGTATAGTGACTTACATTGTACTAAATATATATATTCTAACCACACCTTACTAAGTTGCGTTCATAGGTGCTTTGCTTACTTCAGATGCTTCCTTACTTTACAGGCTTACCTCACTGAAGATGCTTTATTTATTTAAAATGCTTCAATTACTACTTGAGGTGCTTTACTTGCAAATGTTCGAATTCCCTGGGGGCTGCGCAGAGGCTGGGGGGATGTTGAAGCTTCAAAATGATAGACACGTACACAATCCGCAGTAACTCCTTTTCGGGGCTCTAACATAATTTTTTTTACAAATGATATATATATTTTTTTTAACTCGCTCGACGGGCTTCCCCAAAAGAGGGACTGTTCATAGTCTATATAGATAGGTAACCTATCATCCCGGTGTTCCTCGAAGTTCCAGGTCGTCTTTTTTTTGTTTGTTTGTTTTATTTCCTTCTTCTTTTTTTATTTGTCACCAGGATATGAGAACTGTGCCCAACTGTACAATTCTGACAAAAAAATTTGTGGTGTTTATAAAATCAACCCAGATGGTGGTTAACCTGACTTTGAAGTGTTTAGTGACCAAAAACTACCGGAGGGGGATAGATAGTGGTCCAAAAGAGGCTGGATGGCACTGTGGATTTCCACCGCAACCAGTCTGACTACAAGAATGGCTTTGGTAACCTTGATGGCGAGTTTTGACTCGGATTGGAAAAATAAACATCGCCTAACAAAATCCCAGAGCAAGCTTCGGGTCGATTTGGCTTTGATAGAAGAAAGACTTTGATAGCAACACTGCTTGCGCCGAGGACGACATGTTTGTAGTGGCAAACGAAAGCAAGAAGTGCCAGTTGAGCGCTGAGACATATTCAGGTAATTTTTTGAAGGAAATGAAAGTAATTCTTTTGATCAGGTCTATTTAGCTGACGGTAGAGCTTTTTTGGGAAAGACTTTGGGAAGGTTGTTCGCCATTTGTATATCTGTAATACCAAAGTAAATGCATTTCGGGAACGTCTTCAGCATTTCCTGAGACGACTCGAAATAAGTATATAATAACTTTCCAAAACTGTATATT